TCTTTTCAACGACGTTTTTACACATAAAGTCTTATGCATTTTGTTGCATAAACTTGCAGAATTTTATACGGCCAAAATGTGCATAAGTATGCACACACTGTACATAGCTTTGCATAAAATTGTTCATAATATTACGGCTGTATAAAATTTCTGCAGGTACTATGCACAACATAGTGCAAAAGGATTTAGTGTGTAGGGGTGGATCGTTTTTCTGAAATGCTGTCTGCGCGCGGTACTCGTCCCCCCGCGAGTCTCGTCCCATTTATCGTCTATGGATCGTTCTCGGGGCGGGGTTGGGGCCGCGCGCGAGCGGAGGCGCGACCGCCCGCCGGCCAATCAGCAACACGAGACAGCACTTATTCACCGTCATGAAACTTTTAAACGAAATCGGCTGCTGCTGTGCTGGTGTGCTGCTGGGCCGCCGCTCCACCAAGCAGGGCCACCATGCCCAGCACCAGCAAAAGCATTGGGGCCGCGAGATTCAATTGCCTTCCTTTGCGGGGGGATAGGGGGGGGGGCGTTCGCGAGGTCGTTACGGTGAAAATGAATTCAGCGGCGCTCGGCGTCGTCTCGTCGCAGGCGTCGCGGGGTCATGCGTGTCTCTGGGAGGGAGGGAGGGAGGGAGGGAGGGTTACAACGCCGCGCGAAGGGCAAGAGAGCGAGCTGACAACGTTGACCTGCCCCTGCCGGCGTCACTCTCTCCTCTGCCGCTGTTGCGCGCGAAATAAAGGACCAACAACTGAGCTGAGGATTATATCCAAGCCCCCCCGCCCGCGGGCTCCCCCCGAGTGGACTCAGTGCTCGCCAATTGCTGTCTGCCGGAGGCGCGGCGGGGCGGCGGCGGGGGCCCCGCGCGAGGCGTTTCGGAAAGGGGTGAGGGAGGAGGAGGATGGTGGGGGGACTGCTTGGCACTTAGGGAAACACTTCAGGTGGCAGACAGCCCGCTGATTTATACTGACCTTGGTGGATAAGAGGGGCAACGAGACGACTCCCCCCACCACGGCCGGGTCCACCACCCTGTCAGGCTGACACTCCCGCCCACCACCAACCACCCACCACCACCACCATCCTACCAACTTTGAGATAGAAAAGCTTTTGCGCCGCTCGTGTGACTTGTGGTGGACGCATTGGGCCCGGGGCCCACGCGCAACGCAGTGTGCCCCCTGCCAACTTGAGAGATAAAAAGGCCGAGATAAAGCAACTCTTGCCGAGATTTAATTATAGCGACTGGACAATGGCGCTGGGCGGGGCGGGGTGCCGCCCGGCCCGGCCCGGCCCCGCAGTGACTGGGAGGAGCACTGAGATTAAAAAGCTCTCGGGAAGAATAGAGGACCTGTGATTTATAACATCTCGCTGTTGGTTTTTGTGATAGGCTGCGAGATTTCCTCAACAGCTGTACCCTTGAGAATATATTTCCCCGCATGTTTATTATTTCCGCGCTTTTTTTATGTCGTATTTTTTCGCGCGCCACCATGGGATTGGCCGTTGCTGGTTTTTTTTTTTTTTTTTTTTTTCCATGTATTCTGTATCCTATTATTTGTTTGCGGTATTTACTCACGGACTGTGAAGCAGTGGTCCCACCAGTCGGTGCGGCAGAGGAACGCCTTGAGGTCGTCCGCCGTCCTGCCCACGATGACGGGCGGCGGGTCGACGAGGGTGCGCACCGCCAGCAGCACGCCGAACAGGCCCGCCACCGCGCCCACGCGCTGCAGCAGCTCCACGTCCGTGATCTTCACGGCCTTGGCGGACCGCACGCGGAAGATGACGGAGATTCTGAAACACGGACGGAGAAGTGCTCGCACTGAGAAAAATGTTTTGATGCAGCAACTAAAATTTTGATTGTGGCATCTAAACTTGTTTAATGATATATCGACTGATCAAACGTTTAGTTAGGACATCGAAAGTCGTTTCATCACCACTGTTTCATCACCAGTATCGAATACCTTCATGCCAGTAATAAAACTAATTAGTCGTGGGTACGATGTAGGTTTGATCAGTGACATCAAATTGTTTGATCACCAGAACTAAATTACTTAGTTACCAGCAATGAAGTACTTTGGAGCTCTAAAAATGTCGCAAGGCTCCTCCCTTTTCCGATATTGGTTTAACAAACATCAGTCCATCTCCCGGGCATCATTCAAATTTCAAGAAGAACAATTCAGTGCCCAAGTGCCGGGAGAAACTGGTTACGCTCCGGCCGGGATTCGAACCCCTGCCAGACCCGACTTACTATCCAGCCGCCAGGAACGGAGACCACTGAGCCATCACGGCATCTGCCGTCCGACCTGCGCAACACGAGTCTGCTCATTCCTTCACCTGAGTGTCGCTTTGCGGACTTGGACGATTTTCAGTCCGGCCAAATACACTTAGGCGCACACCTTCGTAAATCGTTTCCACTACGTCATTCAAAAATTCGTAGAAATTCCCGAACAAACCCTCTCTGTTGTGACGATTGGAGGGAGTTCGGTTGCCTCATTGAAATTTTTGGGATGCACCACTCAAACACGTTTCGTGTCGAGGAAGAAACCGTTTGGATTTTTACATAAAAATGTTTGTTGCTTGGAACCAAACCTTTCGTAGACTGCTAACGGGTCGGATCGATCAAATGAACTTCAGTGCCAGCATCTAAACATTTTTCTCAGTGCGGGAGAGTGCTTTACATTACGCGGAGAAAAATGGTAAGCTGTGTTGCTAAACCATTATAGCGAGACGATAACAAATTATTTAACCATGTAGCCAAAACTTTTAGCTATGTGTAAACATATGTTTAGCCATGTAAATAAATTTTTAGCTACACATTAAGCCAAGCTATGTATATAGCGAAATTTTTAGACACACCTACATTTTTACCAAAGATACCTAAATTCTTTGTGGCTGTGCTGTGACATGGCTATTTTGTTTTGCTACATAGCTAAATATGTTTAAATATGTTTGACTATACCTAAATACTTAGTTATCCCCTATTTAGCTACTGTTTAGTGTTCGTGCCAAGCAGCAAACCTGGCCACGTGGCTGCGGCTCTCTACATGGGGGGAACTACGTCTTCATGTCTCTTCAATGGGGCTGAAATCAGACTGCGTGGGCGCGGGGCGCGTGGCTACGCCTGTATATACATGTCACTCTGTCGGGCCCGACGATCGTCGCTCGCGGCCGAACTTATCCTATAAAATGAGCAACTTTCCTCATAACCGTTTTCTCATACGGGGCAGCTTCGCGCCCTGCTGCCGCCCCCTCGGCCTCCTAATTCGCAGGCTGACGTGATCTAGTTGATGTAGTTGCGGAGGAGGAGGCCCTCGGGCGGGCGGGGCGATCTGGCCCCGCCTCTCTCCGGGGGACAAGAGGAGGCGGGGGCAGGGGCGGAAGCGGGGGTTGTCGACGGTCCGGCCGCCAGCTACACTACATCTTACCTCCATGTTTTGAACATGAGGGCGCCGTAGGTGAGGGAGAAGCCCAGCTCGCGCAGCCAGAGTCGCAGCGTGCACGTGAACACGCGCGGCTTGAAGTACGACACGATCGTCTGAGGACAAAATTTACATTTTGTTTTGAGACAGCCAACGTCTTCTACTGCTCTCTCTCGCCACTCCTGTTTCCCCTTTTCCTCTTTTTTTCTAGTCCTGTATTTTCTTTTAAGTTTTTACTCACCGTACAGTAGATAAAAAAGGCACCCAAAACTATTACTCTGAGCAAAACGGGGCTGGCCGCGCGGACCACCTGCGGAAACGGGATTAAAACACGTCTTAATCTATTATAAGCGTAATTATACTATTCAAAGAAAATGTTTAGTAATTCTTGGAGAAAGTTTAGTAATCTTAGATAATTTTTTTTATAGTAAGGAGCATTTCTGGAAAAATAGAGAAAATTTTGCAATTCCCGAAAATTTTCCGTTTTTCCGAAAACTTTCCTTATTTTTCCGGAAATTTTCCGGAAATTTTGGAAAATTTCCAACATTATGAAAAATTGTAGAGTGCGCAGGGGGTACCTTGACGTGCTGGTACTTCCACGTGAAGAGCAACACGGCGGGCAGGCAGCAGATGATCGCGCACGAGAGGACGAGCAGGGCCGTCCTCACGGCCCAGTTGAGGGCGAGCACGCATGGCCTGCTGTCCTCGCACGACTCGCAGCCCTCGGCGCACTGGAGGCACTCGAACGCGCCGGCCACCGCGTACTCGGAGTCCTGGCCCTGCTGCAAGGGGCGCGCCGGTGAGAGAGAAACGTTCGGTTACACCGGGTTACACTCGGGCGCGGGCATGTCATTTTACTTTGCGTTGCAGGGGAAACAGACAAACAAACAAACAAACAAACAAAAAAGTTTGTGGTGGGCTCACCAACTGCAGCTTCTCGTACTCCTCCTCGATGTGGCTACCGTTGAAGGCGCGGCGCGACGTCCTGGTGTCCGGGAAGTAGAAGCCTCTCCGGCACACGCAGTGGTAGGAGCCGCGCCGGAAGCCCAGCCCCTTGATGGCCACGCACTGCGCCAGGGCAAGGAGAGGGTGAACAGAAGGGAAACGTCTCAAAGAATTTAAGCGTACTCCAATTTTTCTGTTTTTCTCGAATTTTTAAATCGATTTTTCTGATTTTTTTTCTGACCTGACACCCTAATTAGTCATATCCGGTCATATCTCTTCTTTTCCTGATTTTCTGGATTAACCGATTTACAGTTATTTTTGTTGTTGTTAAGACCCCCCCCCCCCGCCTCTTTCTGCTGTGCGCTGCGCTGCACTTTCCTCCCCCCTCTGCTCCACGCTGATTCCTTACCTCTGTTGTCCTCTTCTTGCACTTGTCGGAGGCGGCAAAGATGTTGAGCTCGGTGGAGCCGGGCCGCGAGGGGCACTGGTCGATGTCGACCCGCCGGAGATCGATGTCGATGCCGCTCGTGCCCCTGCGCAAAAGTCGAAGTGCAAGGGGGGACTTGGTTAAAAATTCGGTCGCTGCCCTGCCTCCGCCTGGCGCCCTGCTCCGCCCGCCGCCCCCGACTCGCGCGCTACTTTACATGCGGGAGCCGAAAGCAGGGCACTTTACTGCAGTGCAAGCCAGAGCCGAGCTGCTCGTGCAAAATTCAAGACCGCCAGGAGAACAGCAGTGGCAGCAGCAGCAGCAGCGGCAGCAACGGCATTACCTTAAACTGAGCGCGTTTAATAAAGCGAGCATTCCTCCTTGTACTTCCGGTGGCTGCTGCTGCTAGGGGGCAGAGAGGGGCAGAGGCGCCACGCCGCCCCACGCGCGCGCCCGCCTGCTGGGCTGCATCAGTAAGGAGCGAGCACTCGAGGTCCCCGGTGCATCGTGAGGCGAACCAAGCCAACTGGGAACCGATAGCGCGCACCAGACCGCTGCAATGCTGTGCCCCCCCCCTCTCTGCTCTGCCTTGCCTTTGCTCCCCCACGGACTCATGCGATATTCATTCGCAAAGCGCGGGGCGTGGAAAGAAAGTCACTCATCGGCCGGTGTCGGTACTCTCCTATCAAGACGAAGACGACCCCACGCTGCTCGTTTCCGGGGTTTCCATGATGCCGTTTCCCGGCTTCCACTTACACCACTTGTATCATGATGTGGCCCTCGTATCATTGCCGTTTGGGATTCCGTTTGCTACAGTGAGTGTCGAACGCCATGGCTCTGGTTACGGCATGTTGACTTCTCTCTTTCCTTCTGAGAGGGCTTTTTAATCCCCAGAAACGGAGCGCGTGTGTGCTCTCTTCTTTCAAAAGGGCAAGGACGGGGACGACTCGCGTCCACGAAAACATCAGTTAAGTGTTTTGCGCCGGACGCTGCGGCTGACTCGCACACGCCGCGAGCGAGCTGCCAGCTGCCCATCGCCGACCGCGACCTAAATGCCATGGCATGTTTTTCCTAAACCAGGCCCCTCAAACGCGCGGCTCTCGAGCCACCCGTGGCTCGCCCGCCCGGGCGCGCGGCTCTCGGCGAGCCACCATGGGACTGCATTGGCGGCTGCGCCAGACACAGAACCACTGGCTCCGCTCAACCTACTGTCTTGTCGGCTGGCTCCGATAGCCCACGAGCGTGAAACCGAACTCAACGCGGCTCTTTCAAATGTACAGGCTATTAAATTGGAGCGGTTTGTTTCGAACGATAAACGAGGCGACACGCTGCACCGCTGTTCAATTATTTCTGGGGGGGGGGATGATGGGTATTCAAAAAGCTTTCGTATGAGACGTGTCCGAACCGGCGGGAAAGAAAGGGGGACGGGCACTCTTTTGCCATATTTACCGAAATTTACACGGACATATCAACGCGAGTTTCCTGATGAGGGTTTTGTTGCGGACAGGGGGTAGGAGGGCAAACATTTTCCTGTTACAGTAATTAATATGGTTATATCCCCCCTTCTTACTATCGCCAATAGTCCGACTAGTCCGTGTGGGAGAGAGCGAGAGAGACCCCAGAACGCGCCGCACCGGGTCTCCGGCGGTCGCCGGTCCTCCTCAGCGCAGCGGTAGCTCAGTGGGCTGGGGCGTCGGTGCGCCGGTGCTGGCAGACCAGGCGGTCGTGGGTTCGACTCTCGCTCAAACTGTTTTGATTTCTCGCTGCACCAGTGGGTGCGAGTGAGACGCCTCGCTCTACTCATTCGAGCGTCGGCGGGTGGCCGCAGGCAGCTGACTTTCATTCAAGCAGTTGATGGATTTCGCGCCAAAGTGACCGAGAAGGAGCATCGGATCCGAGTTGCACACAACCGCTCGAAAGAGCGTAAGGAGTGTTGCATACCTCGCCTGTGGCTCGGCGGCGCTGTGAGTTTGAGGGGCCTGTCCTAAACATTCTCACCTGGACTGCAAAATGCGGTTTGGTTGTTATTTTTTCTAACGAAAATAGATGAACTTTTTTCAGCACTCGAAAATACTGCTGTGGAATTTCAAACTGTAAAACTCTAGTTAAACAAGGACTATCCTATATGTATTCGACTTGGAATTCGTTGGTGAGCAAGAATGAACTTTCGTAAACTTACGCTTTATTTTCTAAATTATATCTAATTTGCAAAAAAATAAATACAAACATCTTATTACAGTGAAAAAAAAGTAAATAAAAATTAGAAATGAAATCAGCACCTCATGTGAGCTACGAACTACGAGAGGGTGCGGAGCTGCATGCGAGGCACGGACGGGGAGGCTGTTGTGGTTGCGGATCTGCTTTGGAGCGTGGCGTGCGGTGCGGGGCGGCGGCGCGATGTATGAGAAATCCATAAAGCAACAAAGTTGTTCGTGAGCTCCCCTCCTCGGTCGGCCTCGGCCCTGGCGCCAGTGAGTGTGGTGCGCACGGCACGGGGCCGATGTTGACCAGGTGCGCGCAGCGAGACTGACATCTGAAACCATTTCGCCGAAACAATAAAAAAAAAGAAACGCGCAGAAAAGCAATAAAAGTGTCTAAAGTGGGACCTTCAGGAGGCGGTATGTGGTGCATTTCTACAGGCACTATCCCAGTGTTGTATCGTTAACGATTAAAAATGTACCTGATTTCGATAAGTAATGTCGAAACGGTATCGTAGCGATATGTCATTTCGCACTGGGACTTCACAAACGCATCGGAAAGACATAGCGCTCTCTTTTCCTGTAAAAAGCGGCTCTCCAGATGATTTTCGAGTATAATGAGGTCTCACTCCAAACGAATGTTACTAAAACTGTTTTTCAGAAGGCCTTCTTGCGCGTCCCACCGAGTCATTAAAATTGTATCCTCCTTTTTTTTTTAGTTTTAATATAGGGTTTTTGTTTCATTAAACTTGAAAGGCTCGCGTCAACTCACTGGCCACGCGCGCGGTCCAGTCCGGTCTCGGCTCGGCTTTCGAGCACCTTAAGCCCGGCCACCGTAATCTGGGCTCCAGTTGCGAACATCAAAGGGAAGTGCGGAGAGAGGAGAGGAGAAAAGAGGAAGAGAGGAGGAGGAGTGAAAAAAAAGCCTCGGCGAAACGCGGAACGCCTCCCCCGCCGTCGTTCCTCTCCCACCTGATTTGACAACATATCTCGGAAACTCTCGCGCGCGCGCGGCCATGGCAAACTTTTCCACGGTCTCGTCATCTGCCAATTCCCAATCACGCCGGCGATAAATATTGATTTTTCCGCGGAGAGCCCCGCAAGCGGAGAGGTAGGCCTCGTGATTACTGCCGCGCCGGGCGGGTTGCCTATGCCGCGAACGGCGGGCGTTTCCGAGCGAGAAGAAGAGCAGTCCTTATGAGATAGCAATGTGCCTCACAAGTAACTTTAAAAAATCTCTTCCAACGTTTTGACTTTTAATATTTTAATACCCAATAAAGCTTTTGATAATTGAATGTTGATGAAGAAAAAAATAAAAACAATTTTTCTTTCGTTTTCTTGTGGTGATGTGATTTTTTCGACTGAGCTGAATTTTGTCAACTGTTCAGGATAATTTACTTGAACTCATTTACATGGCGTTATGGAAGTTACTTTTTATAGCTTTCAGCGATTTTTATCTTGCTTTTATCCGTGCCATCCCCTTCCGGAAAGCTTTGTCCCTCGGTGTGGGAGGTGGGGAGAGGAGCGCAGGTATCTTGTTCAGCTCAGGTACCGGGTACGGATAACCGTATTTTACTCTGCTGACGCAGCTCCTAATCTACTTTTCGCGACCCGAGACAGAAAGACAGATGGCTCGGCGTTTGTTCGCGACAGAGTGTATGAACACGCGGGAACGACGACCGTGTGCGGAAACGGAAAGAAATAAATGTCTCCCTTCAACAGAGAGAAAAAGGGAGCGAAAGGGGGGAAACGAAAATTTCACTCTAATGAATTGAAAACAAGTTCTCTACCTCTTCTCTCGCTTTTTGTCTGAACTCTTCCCCCTCTCCCTCTCTGAGGGGTGTGAGTGCGTTGAGCTTGGTTGAGTCGTGCGGTTGGATTCGGCAGTGGATCGGAGCCCGCCGACAGCGGAAATACGAATGGGCTATTTTGCATGATTCGTGCCAAAGCCTTGACCGGGGCGGATTCGGCTCAACCTTGTCCTCCCAACCGAAAGGATTCTCCCGGCTCCCGGCAGCGCCAGAGCAGGCCTTGGAGACCGACTGTTCGATTCGGGACTCAGCAAAGAGGAGGAGCAAGAAGAAGAAGAAGAAGAAGAAGAAGAGGAAGGGGATGAGATGTCTTCCAGGAGCTTTTGCTCCGAAAGTGTATGCCACTCACTTGAAGAAGTAGGAGCCGTTGGCAAAGCCGAAGAAGGGCACGGTGTAGGTGAGCATCCAGATGTTGCCGCCACCGCAGTCGTAGTAGGGCTTGCTCCACTTGCCGTCCTCGTACGTCACGCTCAGGATCTCGTCGGCCACGCGGTCCGTGTGCGCCGTCGAGTTGAAGGTGTACGTGTTGTAGCCTGGAACAGAGAGGGCGCCGCCTGTGTGAGAGTGGTTTGCACCACTGCATCTCTCTCTCCCTAGGGCTCGGTTTCCTTTCCCTCTCTTGCCGCCCCCCCCCCCCCTTTCTCTTTCTCCCCCTCACTCTCTCCTTGTCAGAAATAATCCTATTTTATTTTAATAAAGCTTTTTTTTTGTAGAATTTTTCTTAGCCCTAACTATAAACACCTTGACGGTAGTAGACTAACACCCCCCCCCCATCTCCACTTGCATCCCTACTACTACTACTCTACTACTACTACCACCCTCACACTCTCCCTCGTGGCCCGAGTGGGACAGAAACTTGTCAGCCAAGTATTGACTGCCAAGTTGAAAGCACCTCGCCCCGCCACGCCTACACTGCCCCACCACACCCCGCGCCCCGCCACGCCCCACCGCGCGCCCATCCGGTCAGAGGAGGGTGTCCCTGGGTGTCCCCCGCGCCCCTGCCGGGCCGGGGTGGCTCAGCCGGTGGGGCATAGCATATTCAGCAGGCTAAACCGACACCGGAAGTAGTATAGGGCGATGCAGGTGGCATCTGCTGCAGCCGTTTGTTGTGGAGTTGGGCCCTCCTCAGGTGAGCGCGACGCTGTCAGCCGCCACTCCGGGTCCCCCCGCTCCGCACCTCCCCCCGCCGCGTGAAAGAAAGGTAAAGTTTCACTCGACCTCATTACTCCTGGCAGACAGACGATATTTTAAAGTGGGTCGCGAAAATGGCTGCAAAGTTGGTTAATTAGGGTGAATTTGGCTGCGGCGCTCTGGCTGACCCTCCCCTGGCAGCCCCCTGCAGCTGCGGCGTGGTGTGGCGTGGCGTGTCGAGGCGTGCCTCGGCGCAGCGCCCGCGGCACAAGCCATTTCGCGCCAAATTGGCGAAAGGTGATTGCGAATGGTGACCGCGATGGTGCAGCGTGGCCGCGCGCGCCACCGGCCAGGACGCCCCGTGGAGACGCCTCCCCGGTGAAAGGGGCGCCCACGCCGAAATTGGCAGTGAAACTAAACTTTTCAGCAGGTCAACGAAGCTTTAATAAACCAAGACGATTTTTTAATTCAACTTTTATTTTTTAATTCGAATTCTTTTCTTTGCTTCAGGAAAATTGGCTTTAATAAACGAAAAATAGCGCAATCCGCCGAAATTTGTCTTAAATCAAGAATTCATTTTTCTGGGTGTACTTTGCAGAGAGCACTTCTGAACTTAGTGCTTGCATGAACACACGCTCAACACGTGAAAGTATTCTTAAATTTAAAAATGCTTCAAATGTTGCGGTCTGCTTAAGCAGAGAATTATCACTCTCAGCCCGTTACTGACACTTTGCAAATACACAATGAACTTGCTTGTACAGCAGTAATACTCACAAAATTGCACGTAATACTCACAAATTTAGTTAGTAATACTAATTATTTTGTTAGCAAGTACTTAGCATCATCTTCCTAAGTAATTCCTCACAAAATAATTAGTATTACTAACTAAATTTGTGAGTATTACGTGCAATTTTGTGAGTATTACGTGCAATTTTGTGAGTATTACGTGCAATTTTGTGAGTATTACTGCTGTACAAGCAAGTTCATTGTGTATTTGCGAAGTGTCAGTAACGGGCTGAGAGTGATCAATTTTTTTCTATGCAACATTTTTGCACAATTTCTCCCTCGCCCTTGTCTATATTTTCGCGCCAACGTTTTCAACACGACACGGAAGCCTGCTGCTTGCACTTAATCAAGAGGAGAGAGATAGAGAGTGGGGCGGCGGAGAGTGGTGGGTTTTTGGTGGTGGGTAAAAATGGGAGGTTATCGCGTTCGTGATGTAGGAGAACGGGCAGCAGCCGTGTGCCGGCGGGCGTGCCGCCGCGACTCCGACCCACCATCCATCATGTGCGGCGTGGCGGGGCGTGGCGGGGCGGGCAGGGTGGTTACAGCGTGGTGCGGCCGCGCCACCTACCC